TTCCACCACCTGCTCACCTACACAGGATCTCCTGGAAACCTTTTTGGACATCCACTGACTGACCTCCTTTTCCTACAGTAAGAACTATTTCTCTGGACATTACACTGCCCTTGAGATTTCTCCTGGCCGGCTTTAACTTTGCTCCTTGCTCTCCAGGGTTCCAGCCTCTCCCTGGATAGTTACCTCACCAATATCATTGTTTTCACTTTTGTAAATAAAACACTGTTTAACTTTCCCTGGTCTTGAAGTCTGTTTGCTTTTGGTCAGTACTTATCTGGGTGTTGCTAGAAACCTAACACATTTACATAAATTATAAACAGTTTGGAACCCAGATCTCTTTTTTTTTATATACAATATTCTTTTTTTATATACAATATTTTTTTCCAAAAGAAAGGCCAAAAAATTGTTATTTGTAGTCACGATAACCCTATTTTGACTTGTGCACTGTCGTCTTTCACTTTTAGGTTACAAAAGGTGCTGGACCGGTCACTGAAGCTGTGGAGAGATGAGGTGGAACATCAGACCTGCAATGGTCCAGTGTGTAAATGTAATGTAAATGTAAATGATGCTCTGAAGTCTGGTAAGCTGCACAACATCCTGCTTTGCCGAAACGAGCTCGTTACCTCAACCACATGGATTGTGAACTTCTTGAGGACGTCGTCCAATGTATAATAATGCCTTTAAGCATTTTTATTTGTTGAGTTCTCTTGCTTGGTACATTAATTTTCTTTTTTGTTTGTTTGTTTGGTTAAGCAATTTAAAACATGACAGTAATGTCACTGTTTAAAGGAAACAATTGCTCAATAAATTAGTAAAATGCAACTTGTTATGTTTGGGTTCTTTCATCTAAGGTAGACATGGTGTGACCCATGTACTGGTTTTGATTTTTTGTTTTTACTGTAACTAACCTTCAAAAGAGCTAGAAACAGGGACTCAGCAGCTGATCCTCTGTATAAAAATTATATGGACTACAGGCCATGTATTATTTGCTTTGTGCCCTTTAATGAAGGTTTTTTTTTTTAATTAAGGCAATAAATGTCTCTATTTCACCTCAGACAAACTGTTTCTGTTGCCATATCTTTTGAAATAAAACTGCAGAACACAAAGTAATTAAAAAAGAAATGGGTAGAAGATTAAATCAAATTTAATGTATTTCCTAAAAATTAAATGAAGAGAAAACAAACAGGAGCAGTACAGGAGTGGGAGTGGGTCTGAACAAGAGCAGGACAGGAGTAGGAGTCATGTTATCAGGACTGGGACAAGACAGGATTTTTTTTTGTGGGACCAGGACAAGACGGGAGTGAAAATGCACTCTCGTGTCATCCTCTAGTGAGGGGTTCAGTGTCTTGCCCAGGGACACTTCGGCATGTGACTGCTGGTAGAATCAAAGCCCCAACTCTTGCATTGGAGGACGACTGCTCTAACCACTCAGCCACAGCTGCCCCATCCACCTGTATGTGTGATCTCATTCTTTCAGTCACTACCCAGAGCTCATGACCATAGGTGAGGGTAGGACCGTAGACCAACAAGTAAACAGAGAGCTTTGCCTTACAGCTCAGCTTCACCACAGCAGACCAGCACAGAGTCCACAATACTGCAGACACTGCACCATTCCATCTGTCAAATCTCATTCTCCATTCTTCCCTCAATCGTGAACAAAACCCCGAGATACTTGAACTCCTCCACTTGAGGTAGAACCTCACCCTTGACCTGAAGAGAACAATCCACCCTTTTCCAGTTGAGGACCATGGTCTCAGATTTGGAGGTGCTGATTCTCATCCCAGCCACTTCACACTCAGCTGCGAAAAGCTCCAGTGAGAGCTGAAGATCACGGCACGATGACACCAACAGGATTGTATCATCTGCAAAGAGCAGAGATGGAATCCTGAGGCCACCAAACTGGACTCCCTCCACCCCCTGGCTGCACCGAGAAATTCTGTCCATAAAAGTTATGAACAGAATCTGTGACAATGGGCAGCCCTGGTGGAGTCCAACTCCCACCCTGAAGGGGTTCGACTTACTACTGGCAATGCAAACCAAACTTTCGCACCGCTTGTATAAGGACCGAACAGCCCGTAACTACGGGCCCCCAATCCCATACTCCCCCCACAGTGTACCTCGAAGAACACGGTTGAAAGCCTTCTTCTAAAAACTAAGTTAATAACATTATTTATCTGAGGAGCAGACTGCTTTGAATTTAACTCCATCACAGAACTCTCATTCTGACCAAGCACAAAGAAAACAGTGGAAAGGGAAAAACTCCTTTCTAACAGGAAAAAACCTTTAGCAGAATCAGGCTCAAGACGAGCGTCCATCTGCTTTGACCGGATGGGTTTGAGAGGAAGAGATACACAATGGTAAATGGTAAATGGACTGTACTTATATAGCGCCTTTCTATCTTATTTCAAGATACTCAATGGCAGGTCAAGAATCATATGTTAAGATAGAAATAATATCAAATGAAAATTATTCAATTTTAACAATTTAGTTTAAGAAACAAGGTCAATTTGTCCTCTAGTAGTCTAAGCTTAAGGCAGCATAACAAGCCGACCGTAATTATAGGGTTATAATATACAGGTAATATCACAAAAATTAGAAACATCTTATCTAAAAATTATGCAGAAAAACTGGTTCATGCATTTGTCACATCTAGACTGGACTATTGCAATGTTTTGTTATCTGGGTGTCCAAATACTTCTTTAAAAAGTCTTCAGTTAATACCAAATGCTGCTGCCAGAGTCTTAACTGGACTTAGTAGGAGAGATCATATCTCTCCCGTTTTAACTTCTCTCCAATGGCTCCCTGTCAAATCCAGAATTGAATTCAAAATCTTACTGCTAACCTACAAAGCTCTCAACAACCTAGCTCCATCTTATATTAGAAATCTTATTGTTCCATATTTTCCTAACAGCACTTTGCTCTCAGACTGCAAGCTTACTTATAGTTCCTAGAGTTAGCAGAATGAGAGGAAGATCTTTCAGTTATTAGGCTCCTCTCTTGTGGAACCAACTTCCAGTTTCTGTCCATGAGGCTGACACATTGTCCAGTTTTAAGACTGGGCTTAAAACTTTCTTTTTTGATAAATCTTATAATTAGGGTTGGCTTGTTATGCTGGCATAGGCTTAGATTAATGGAGGACAAATTGACCTCATTTCCTTAAATTAATTGTTAAAATTGAATAATTTTCCTTTGATACTATTTCTATCTTAACATGTGATTATTGACCTGCCATTGTGTATCTGTTCCTCCTTCCTGTTCCTCTTAAACTCAGCCGGTCAAAGCAGATGGCCGCTTGTCCTGAGTCTGGTTCTGCTAAAGGTTTCTGCCTCATGAGGGAGTTTTTCCTTTCCACTGTCTCCTTCATGCTTGCTCAAGATGAGAATTCAAAGCAGTCTGCTCCTCAGATAATGTTAAATTATTATTATTATTATATATAAATATTTCTGTTAAGTGCCCTGAGATGACTTATCTTGTGACTTGGCGCTATATAAATAAACTGAACTGAATTATAGGATTTATTTTTGATGAACTCTACTTCATTAGAATCAGACTTTTTAAAGAGCAAGTCAGCCTTTGTTACACTTGCTCTGTCTTTTCTGTTTAAATTTAAAGTGCACAGCTGTGCTTTTGGGTTTGTTATGCTGGAAAATAACTTTATTTTACTTTAAGTGGATTATTATTTAATAATGTGTAAATAGTTTATTTTTGAGACATTTATTTTATACAGTTACAGTTGTTTGTTAATAAATGTGCCTGTGTGATCATTGGGACAAAGCTTTGACTCAGAAATATATTTTTGTTATTACTTTGTGGAAAGAAAAAATATTGAGATATATATTGTATATTGCCATCCATCTTAAAATATTGAGATATATATTGTATATTGCCATCCATCTTAAAATATTGAGATATTAATTTTGGTCCATACTACCCAGCCCTAATGTACAGGCATGGTTAATTTCAGATTTTATATTAAAAATGGCCAATATCAGCCCATTTAAATCTGTATACTCTGAAAGAGACTTGTTGGGATATTACTTTAGATTGTACTTAACATTACCTTTAAGGTTTGACAAAATAGCAACATTTCTGAACATTTCTCTTCGTAAAATGATTTTTAGTCTGAAAATGTGGCATGAAAGCCAGCAGGAGATATACATTCCTTCAAGGAATGCTAGGTCACAAACTGTTACTGGAGCTTTAAGTAATTCTTATTTAGATGCATGTCTGGAGGACAAAGTCTTCAAAGAACAAGGAAAGGTATGTGTATAGACATCTACTGAACTGTTTAACTGTTGGGGTATTGTGTGGACATGAGTTTCTCCACCAACATAGGAAGAACACACTCGGAAGACTCTTTCAGATATTGTTCTCTGTGAGAGTGACAGACTTCTACATTACACTGATGACTTGTTAGCTCACAACATACAGATCCTGACATTTGTTTTTGTTTAGACAGGAGAGCTGCATCTCCTATACAGCCATCAGGATGGGCTCCCCGGTCTAAAAAGGACAAATTAAGTCAGAGATGGGTAAAAATCTTAAAACTTATGTCTTGTAAGGTAACAAGCCAGGAGTATAATTTACATTAGTGTGTGACTCTCTTCGTATGTTAAGAAATAGAGGGGTGACATGTAAAACGTTTCATTGTAGTGAAGTAAGAAGGTACTTCTCTTGAGTTATTCAATGTCCAGGACAGATTTGAAATGGTTTCATTACATTATGGATCACTGAAAAACCTGGAATTAATGGGGTTTACAGTCATTGTATTAAACATGGATAGTTCTTAGAGTTTTAGATGGTGCAAAGCAACAGTAAGGAGAAATGTTTTAAATCTGCAAACAAACCTAATAAACAAGAGAAAAAAAATAGAGAAATTGCCGAAACACAAGGATTGAGATATCAGTGTTTTACACAACTTGGAGCTACAGAGTTGATGTAAACTCATCTCTTTGGATGAATTCGTATTAACTCAACACTTTGAAACTATTAGAACTCAC